CCACTACCACCAGAGCCGGATCCGCCGGATGTGGAATGACACAGTGCGCAAGCAGACGGAGTCCAGCTTCATGGCCGGGGACCTCAACAGCACCCCCACCCTCAACCGAGGTGAGCCTTGCCCATGAACAACTGGTGCCTCCCGTGACTGGAGTGGCACCATAGTGGTAAGCGGGGACCACCTGCAGCTGCCATCCATGGTGTCAGCAGCAAGAGCCGGATCCGCCGGATGTGGAATGACACAGTGCGCAAGCAGACGGAGTCCAGCTTCATGGCCGGGGACCTCAACAGCACCCCCACCCTCAACCGAGGTGAGCCTTGCCCATGAACAACTGGTGCCTCCCGTGACTGGAGTGGCACCATAGTGGTAAGCGGGGACCACCTGCAGCTGCCATCCATGGTGTCAGCAGCAAGGGTTGGGGGGTGGCAAGTGGTTGTACTGGAGACAAGTAGGGGGCGGGTGTGGGCGGCGACTGCCTGCAGAAGCCAGCAGTGGCTTTGGCAGTGGCCTGTTGGGGGTGGCGGGTGGGGGGGGGGGGGGGGGGGGCATGTGCCCCCCTATGCATCACCTATGGCCCTGCCCCCTAAGGCTGTCCCTGCGCCCATCCTCCATCCAGGTGAGCTCCACCCCCGTAACACTGGCTATGCACCCTGCCTCCAGTCAGGCTGAGCCCTGCCCCTAATGCTGGTCCTGCCCTCAACCAAGCACCCTGCCCCTGACACCAGCTCTGTCCCCATGCCCAACTGAAGTGAGCCCTGCCCCTACTTGGTAGAAATAAGCCCAGCCCCATGCCCCCCTTCTCCCCCGACCCTGCCCTTGCTCCCAGCAGGCTGCACCTCCCTTTCCCATGTTGTGGGCTCTTTACTCCCCATTTCCCCTCTCCTACCCTGAGCTAGGGGCTGGCCCCTCTTATCGCCACATCAGCCCCTTCTCCTGCCCCCTCTGCTGGGGGTTGGACCCAGCACAGAGGTGACTCTGTCCTGCAGGAACCATGGGCAACCACCTGCTGACCAACCCAGTGCTGCAGACCCGTGGGGGCACCAGCCCCTACAACACGCTCATTGCTGAGTCTGTGGGCTTCAACCCCACCTCACCCCCTGTCTTCAACTCCCCAGGTGAGGCTCCCTCCCCCAAGTCTGGGTGGCAGCAGAGTGGGTGGCTTTGGCAGCCAGGGCTGCGGGGAGGGTCTCTTGGGACCTGTGGAAAGAGAGGGGCCTGCATGTGCAAGGTTTGGGTGCTCACATGGGAAGTGTGTCCTGTGCGCAGGGAGGGGCTGGGAACTGATATGGGGGAGGGGCATGTGTGCGTGCTGGGGGGCAGGGTGCTTATGCCCCTCATTAATACCTCTCTTTCTCTTCCCTTGCCACCGGTGTTGCGGCAGGGAGCTTCCGTGAGTCCAGTACGTGCTACCTTCCCATGGGCCATACCATTTCCTGCCCCCGCCCTGCCTCGCTAGCTGGACTGGCCTGTGGGTGTGGTGCATGCACCTGCTACACCCAGCAGGGGGCACCAGGGCAAGATTTGGGGGTGGTAGGGCAGGGCCTCCCAGCTGTTTCTGGCCCCAGTAGAAGGGTACAGTGCAGGTCATGGAGCAGCCACCCTGGGACTAACCCCTTCTCCCTGGCACATGAGACTGGACCAGTAGTCCATATAGTCCTGTACCAGCCTCTGGGGTATTGTGGTCCCTGCCCCATGGCATCAGGTCCACAGTCCATATTATCCTATATTGCCCTCTGGCGTGAGGTTCATGTATTACCCTTCTGCTGCCCCATACTCCGTACCATCCTGTAGCAGCCCCTGCTCCATGTCAGACTCCATAGCCTCCCCAAGACACCTGGATGTGGCAGGGCCATGGTAGGGGGTGGGTGCTTCACACCTAGCAGGTCCCAGCAGCATTACAGCTCGGGGTGGGCATACCACACCATGCGCCTCATGCTTAGCATCTCTCCGTGTCTGCACCCACGTGCACCAAACACTTGGTGCTGGTGCACATGGATGCAAGTTCCCTCATACACGGTGTCCCTGTACCTCTGTAGCTATGCACAGCCCCTGTGCACACCACAGCCCTTCACACCTCACACTCACATGCACACTCCCTTACATCTCTTCCTCCAGTTTGCACGCACGCACACACATGCCTGCATGCACTTGCTTGCTTGCGTGCACACTGCCAACTGACCCCCTCTCCCCCTGCCCTGCAGAGCACCCCCTGAACAACGCCCGCGATGCCTGTGGCATGGACACGCTCCCACTCAACGGCAACTTCAACAACAGCTACTCACTGCGCAGCGGGGACTTTGCGCCTGAGACCACCAAGGGCCCCGAGGTCCGGCGGGGCCTGCCCGATGCTGCTGCCTTTGAGAAAATGATCATCTCTGAGCTGGTGCACAACAATCTGCGCGGAGGCGGGGGCAGCAGCACAGCCAATCCAGCTCCCCCTGCACCCCCCACTGGTGACCCAGGCAACCCCCCCGGGGCTGCCAGCGAAGATGCCCCCCTACCGGGCACCGCTCCCCCGGAGCCCAGCCACGAGGAGACGCTGGAGATTGAACTCATGTACAAGGCACTAGAGGAGCCGCTTCTGCTGCAGCGCGCCCAGTCCATCCTGTACCAGAGCGACCTGGAGGAGTCCGAGTCCTGCACAGCAGAGTTGGCCGAGGGCGCCGAGGGCCAGGCCCCCTCGCCCAACCGGGACTCTCTGTACCCCAGTATGACCAACCTGCGGGACTCTCCATACCCAGACAGCAGCCCTGAGGCACTCGGGGAAGTCCTGCCACATGCCCAAGCCATCAACGAGATCTACTACACCAACCGGCCCGGTTTGGGCCCCCGTGGCCAGCTCCAGGCCTACTACCAGGTCCGGAGGCCCAGCAATGATGGCTACCTGGTGCCTGCTGGGCTCGAGGGCCCTGTGCCCGAAGGCGACGGGCAGATGCAGCTGGTCACCAGCCTCTGAAGGCTGGGCAGGGACTGAGGAGCCCCTCCCCCAGTCCCCTCTCCCCTCATTTGCTTTTAATTGCCCCCCTGGAGCGGCCAAGAGGAGGCAGCACAGTGGTGGGGGTGCAGTTGCGCCAAGACCTATGGTCGTTTTCTTTCCCCCCTCCTGGCGCCCTGAGGGGAGTGGTGGTGCCAAGGCCAGTGGCCATTTTGTCTCTCCTCCCTCCCACTGCCATTCCTTGGTGTTACCCATCACAAGTAGGCTTCATTAAGGGGTTTGACACCAAGCCTCGATGAGGAGGAGTGGGGAGGAAGGACACAGGCTGGACACGCACAGCTCTGGCTTCTCCTTTTTGCTCAACTCCATTTTTTTGGCAGGAAGGCTGAAAAGGAGGGGAAATTCACTTTTTTCAGGGAGGGGGGATGATTTTTTTGAAGAGGTCAAAGCCATGGGGGGCAGGTGGGCACCCTGCTTTGGGGGCTGCCCCCTGGTGATGCTGAGAGGGACTGTAAGGAGAGCAAGGCAGAGAGGGCCCCACTGACAGGCAGGGG